CGTTCAGCTGCTGCATCCTGGAGAACATTCCTGGTGATGTCCTGAGCCCCATTCATCTGCCTGCATCCCAGAGAACATTCCTGGCGATGTCCTGAGCCCCGTTCAGCATCCTGGAGAACATTCCTGGCCATGTCCTGAGCCCTCTGCAGGGCCCGGTGATGGCACTGGCCGGGGCTGCAGGTCTGGCTGAGCTCACCCTGCCGTGCCGAGCTTTGCTGCACAGACACCTCCAGGCACCCCGGGCCAGGGAAAGCAATCTGCACCCACTGAGGGCAGCAGCAGCAGCAGCAGGAAGGTCTGATCTCATTTCAGAAATGCTGCTTTTTCTATCTTTCTCTCTTTCCTCAGAAGCTCTGAACAGGCACTCGGAGGTGTCCCGTTCGCAGCCCGGTGCCCGGTGCCGGGTGCTCCCTGTCCTGCAGCATTGCTGTARCACCCTCGGCTCGGGCCATTCGGCTCAGGGATCTCCCTGGCTGCCGGTGGGCGGGAGGGGCGTGCAGGGCTCCGCTTTCGGCCGCTCCRTCCCCTCCGAGGGGCTGGGGAAGGAACTGGGCCGGCCCCCGSTGCCGCCGGGCTCGGGCCGTCCCCTCGCCGCTATTCCTGGGCGCGGGGAGGCCCCTGCCTCTTGCCGGGCTCGCCCTTGGCTGCCCGGGGCTCCAGCGGGGGCTGCCGGGCCGATCTGTGCCCGCGGGGAGCGGCGCTGGCACCGGCCGGGGCGCGGGGAGCGCCGGGGGGCTCGGGCGGGGAGCGCTGCGGGGCCGCGTACAGGAACAGAGCCGGGTCGGGCATGGCATCGTGCTCGTCCTGAGCGTCCCTGCTCCTCCTGGCCGCAGCTCTGTGGCCGCGGCGGCGGGGCCGGCTCTCGTTCGGCGGGGGATGCTCGGGGGATGGCCGGGGGCTCGCCCGGGGCCCCGGCAGCCGCTGAGCCGTGGCGTGCAGCTGCAGGGACAGGTAGGCGGCCGCCTCCGTCTGCTTCTGCAGCTCCGTGTCCAGGATGGTGACGCGGTGGCTCCGGCGCTTCAGCTCCTCCAGGAAGCGGCGCTCCTTGCTGCGGAGGCTGGAGCGCAGCGCAGCCACCAGCGTCTCCTTGTGCTGCAGCTCCTTGCGCAGCTCCAGGTTGTCCTTCTCCTTCTCCTGCAGCTGCGCCTCCATCGCCCGGCACTTCTCCTCCAGCTCGCGGTCCAGGACATCTGTGGGTGAAGGCACAGACAGAGGGGTCAGGAGGGGCACTGCTCTGACAGGTCCCCAGGTGTCCCTACCATGGATGTGGCTGCTGAGCACAGCGTGTCCCAGCGGTGCTGCTGAGGCTGCTCGGGTGCTCCTTGAAGCAGGAATCCAGAATTCCCTGTGAGCTYTGTGATCACAGGCTCGCTGCCAGCACAGGCACAGGAGCCCTGGCACGGGAAGCCCGGCGTGGTGCCATGTGTAACACCCAAATGCGGGGTGAAAGCAAAAGGCAGTTTCTGTGGAAGATGTTGTTGCCATGGAACCTGCTGCCTCTACCTCACAGCAGGTTTAAAATTTCCCTAGGTAACTAGTTTTTCACCCTAAAAGTGRCTTTGGATGTGTGCAGAGGGTGTGGGGGAGCACGTGAGCTGGGAGAGAAAAGGAAAAGGTGCAGGGAGATCATCAGCCCAACTTTGGAGGGACTTTTGGCCTCAAAGGCTGGTACTCCAAAGTTAGTGAGGATGGAGATGCTAATCCAGCATTGCAGAGGATGCACTCAGCAGGGAAGGAGTCTCCATCCCGGGAGGAGGGAGAGGGTCCTGGCACTGCTGTCCTGGGCAGGATGGCCGGGCAGATCAGGGAATTCACAGCTCTGGGGCTGGGGTTGAGCCCAGCGGGCAGCGGGAGGGCCGGGCTGGACTCCTGACCCCATTGTGGCTCCAGCACCCGGCTCTTGGCAGCCCTTGGCAGGGTCAGGCTGGCACCTGCCCGTGCTCCCTGGCCTGCCCAGGCCTGCTCCCATCCTCTGCACTAATCTGCTTTTTATGGGCTGATTGGCAGCTTCAGCTCCTCCGTGTTTCGGCAGCTTTATAATGAGKCTTAGGAAGGCAGTTGCAGGCAGTAATTATTGCATGAGTGGCATTAGGAGGGCAATAATTTGATGGCACAGCAGATGAGGTGCTGCCCCATAAACGTGGAGGGCAAAGTGTGCAGCTCTGAAAGGCTGCAGGACGGGCATGGGCAGGACTCGCTGCCGTGTCAGGGTGACAGGTGACACTCTGGTGGCCTCGGGTGGGCACCGGGCATGGTGGCAGCAAAGCCCACTGGGGCTGAGAAGGGACCCCTGGCTCCAGGGAGGGGCTGAGAGTTTGGAATTGCCATGGAGCCAAGGGTGAGGACTCTGCTGGCCCCGGGAGAGCAGCTCACAGCTGAGGATGGAGCACAGGCTGGGGCTTGGAGCCAGGGACAGTGACAGGGACAGTGCCAGGGACTGTGACAGAGACAGTGACAGGGACAGTGCCAGGGGCTGTGACAGGAACAGTGACAGGGACAGTGACAGGGACAGGGACAGTGACAGGGAAAGTGCCAGGGGCTGTGACAGGAACAGTGACAGGGACTGTGCCAGGGACTGTGCCAGGGGCTGTGACAGGGACAGGGACAGGGACAGTGACAGGAACAGGGACAGTGACAGGGACTGTGCCAGGGACAGTGACAGGGACTGTGACAGGGACAGTGACAGGGACCGTGCCAGGGACTGTGACAGGGACAGGGACAGTGCCAGGGACAGTGCCAGGGACAGTGCCAGGGACAGTGCCAGGGACTGTGCCAGGGGCTGTGACAGGGACAGGGACAGGGACAGTGACAGGGACAGTGACAGTGACAGTGACAGTGACAGGGACAGTGACAGGGACAGTGACAGGGACAGTGACAGGGACAGTGCCAGGGACAGGGACAGTGACAGTGACAGGGACAGTGACAGGGACAGTGACAGGGACAGTGCCAGGGACCGTGCCAGGGACAGGGACAGGGACAGGGACAGTGACAGGGACTGTGACAGGGACAGTGCCAGGGACAGGGACAGGGACAGTGACAGGGACAGTGACAGTGACAGGGACAGTGCCAGGGACAGTGACAGTGACAGTGACAGGGACAGTGATAGGGACAGTGACAGGGACAGTGACAGGGACAGTGACAGGGACAGTGACAGGGGCTGTGACAGGGACAGTGACAGGGACTGTGACAGGGACAGTGCCAGGGGCTGTGACAGGGACAGGGACAGTGACAGGGACAGTGACAGGGACAGTGACAGGGACAGTGCCAGTGACAGGGACAGTGTGACAGTGACAGTGCCAGGGACAGTGCCCAGGCAGCACCAGGAGGATTTTCAGCCTCACTCGGGGACAGGGCAGGGACAGGATCCCGCTGCTCCCAGAGCATCCTCTCCCGGCCGGGATTCCCAGGCACCGGCAGCATTTCCCGAGCTGCCCCAGGCTGTGCACGCTGCCACCCCAGCCCCAATGTCCCCTCCGGGAGTGTCCGTGCCCCGTGCAGCCCCAATGTCCCCTCTGTGCCCCTGTGCAGCCCCAATGTCCCCTCGGGCAGGGTCTGTGCCCCTGTGCAGCCCCAATGTCCCCTCTGTGCCCCTGTGCAGCCCCAGTGTCCCCTCTGGCACAGTCCGTGCCCCGTCCCAGCCCCAATGTCCCCTTTGTGCCCTGTGCAGCCCCAATGTCCCCTCTGGCAGTGTCCATGCCCCGTGCAGTCCTGGTGGCCCCTCGGGCAGTGTCCGTGCCCTGTGCAGCCCCAATGTCCCCTCTGTGCCCCTGTGCAGCCCCATTGTCCCCTTTGGCAGGGTCTGTGCCCTGTGCAGCCCTGGTGGCCCCTCGGGCAGTGTCCGTGCCCCGTGCAGCCCCATTGTCCCCTTTGGCAGGGTCTGTGCCCTGTGCAGCCCTGGTGGCCCCTCGGGCAGTGTCCGTGCCCCGTGCAGCCCCAATGTCCCCTCTGGCAGGGTCTGTGCCCTGTGCAGCCCTGGTGGCCCCTGTGCAGTCCTGGTGGCCCCTCGGGCAGGGTCCGTGCCCTGTGCAGCCCCAATGTCCCCTCTGTGCCCCGTGCAGTCCTGGTGTCCCCTCTGGCAGGGTCTGTGCCCCTGTGCAGCCCCAATGTCCCCTCTGTGCCCCTGTGCAGCCCCAATGTCCCCTCTGTGCCCTGTGCAGCCCCAATGTCCCCTCCGTGCACCGTGTAGCCCTGGTGGCCCCTCTGGCAGGGTCCGTGCCCTGTGTAGCCCTGGTGGCCCCTTTTGCAGTGTCTGTGCCCTGTGCAACCCTGGTGGCCCCTCTGGCACAGTCCGTGTCCCATCCCAGCCCCGCTGTCCCCTCTGTGCCCCGTGCAGCCCCAATGTCCCCTCTGGCAGGGTCCATGCCCCGTCCAGCCCTGGTGTCCCCTCTGGCAGGGTCTGTGCCCCGTGCAGCCCCAATGTCCCCTCCGTGCCCCTGTGCAGCCCCAATGTCCCCTTTGGCAGGGTCCATGCCCCCGTTCAGCCCTGGTAGCCCCTTTATCTCCTCGGTGGCCCCCGCAGCCCCAATGTCCCCTCTGGCAGGGTCCATGCCCCCGTTCAGCCCTGGTGGCCCCTTTATCTCCTCGGTGGCCCCGCAGCCACACTCCCCTCACCCCGTGCCCAGAGCTGTGCTCTTACCTTGCTGCCGCGCCTCCAGCTCTTTCATTTCCAGGTCATGGGTGAGCTCTGCAAGAGAAACCCCACAGGACTGAGGAGGAGCATCCCACCCGTTCTGTGCTCCCCTGGGGCACTGACATCACTGAGGTGCAGGGCTGCCTCTGCCACATGGCACTGTGGCCATCTCGGAGCACCTGAGCTGAGCTAAAAATACACAATTCTGCCAATTTATTTGTAATTAAGCAGCCYCGTGGCCAAGACATTGTCTGCGGGAAGCTCTGCTCCTCTGCCAATGCCTTTTCTTTTTCTAAGAGAGTTGCTGAACGCTTTCCAGTGCTTTAAATCAGGACAAAGAGCAGTGAATTGAAAACAGACCAAAGTGTAAGCTGCCACCCAAAGCATTTCATAATTTACGGCTCCAGGCTGATTGCTGCCTCTGCACGTGATGCAAGTGGGGATGGCCTTGTCCCATCACGCTGTGCCTGCAGAAGGATGCTGTCCTGCTCTGTAGCAATGTGGAGCTTCCAAATCTCTCCCAAATCCCTGGAGCTGCAGCACCTTCCTGCCTGCTCAGCCCCGACATGCTGCCTGCTCCCTGCTGCTCTTTTCTGCTCACTGGCTACCCCCAGGCTACAACAGCAGCTCACACAGGGCAGCTCAGGGACCTTCTGGAGTTCGCTTTACCCCGCACACTCGTACAGACAGTCCCTTTTGAATTAATTATCACCACCCACCCAACCACTAACAGCCCTGAGCAGAGGAGAAGAGGGGCAGCAGCAGCAGCATTCAGCTGTTTGGGGGCTGTTTTCTCCCCTGAAAATCAGTTCAAATGGTTAATCTTTGCCCTACATTTTTTTCTTTTAATCTGCTTTCATGTTGACTCTAATCCTCATCACTGCCATCCTCCTGAAACGGAACGCTTGGCTCAGGCTGCTCTGCCTGTCTGTCTTGGAAAACAAATCTGTGGTGAGAAGGCAGAAGTACCTGAGAATGTAATGCAGTTTCTGGAAAGCGTTCAGCACTCTCGACTGCCCYGGTGGGAATCGATGGCCACTGTGCTATTTCTCTGAAGCTAAAATAAYAGGTTTGGAGTCTCGGATATATTTCAAATGCAAACCAAAGCAGTTGCCTGTTCCCAAAGACATTGCTCTGCTGGTGCAGGATGCCAGAGGGGCGAGTGGGGATCTGCTTCTGTACCGTCCCCATCACCCTGAGGGGCAGCTGAGAGAGGGATGGAGAGCATTTCCCACCACAGGGATACCCCAGAGGGATGGAGAGCATTTCCCTCAGGGATACCCCAGAGGGATGGAGAGCATTTCCCTCAGGGATACCTCAGAGGGATGGAGAGCATTTCCCTCAGGGATACCCCAGAGGGATGGAGAGCCTTTCCCTCAGGGATAGCTCAGAGGGATGGAGAGCATTTCCCACCACAGGGATACC